TGGTGACACTCAGACCTGGTGAAACTCAGACCTGATGACTCTCAGACATGGTGACACTCAGACTTGGTGACACTCAGACCTGATGACACTCAGACCTGGCGACACTCAGACATGGTGGCACTCAGAACTGGTGACACTGAGACCTGGTGACACTCAGACCTGGTGACACTCATACATGGTGACACACCTGGTGACTCTCAGAACTGGTGACACTCAGACCTGGTGACACTCAGACCTGGTGACACTCAGACCTGGTAATGCTCAGACCTCGTGATACTCAGACCTGGTGACACTCAGACCTGGTGACAGTCAGACCTGGTGACACTCAGACCTGGTAATGCTCAGACCTCGTGACACTCAGACCTGGTGACACTCAGACCTTGTAATACTCAGACCTGGTGACACTCAAACCTGGTGACACTCAAACATGGTGACACTCAGACGTGGTGACACTCAGACCTGGTGACGCTCAGACCTGGTGACACTCAGACCTGGTGACACTCAGACCTGGTGACACTCAGACCTGGTGACACTCAGACCTGGTGACACTCAAACATGGTGACACTCAAACATGGTGACACTCAAACATGGTGACACTCAAACATGGTGACACTCAAACATGGTGACACTCAGACCTCGTGACACTCAAACATTGTGACATTCAAACATGGTGACACTCAGACCTGGTGACACTCAGACCTGGTGACACTCAGACCTGGTGACACTCAGACCTGGTGACACTCAGACCTGGTGACACTCAGACCGGGTGACACTCAAATATGGTGACACTCAAACATGGTGACACTCAAACATGGTGACACTCAAACATGGTGGCACTCAGACCCGGTGACACTCAGACCCGGTGACACTCAGACCCGGTGACACTCAGACCCGGTGACACTCAGACCCGGTGACACTCAGACCTGGTGACACTCAGATCTGGTGACACTCAGACCTGGTGACAATCAAACCTGGTAATACTCACACCTGGTGACACTCAGACCTGGTAATACTCAGACCTGGTGACACTCAGACCTGGTGACACTCAGACCTGGTGACACTCAGCCTGTTGACACTCAGACTAGGTGACACACAGATCTGGTGACACTCAGACTTGGTGACACACACGTGGTGACACTCAGACCTGGTGAAACTCAGACCTGATGACTCTCAGACATGGTGAGACTCAGACTTGATGACACTCAGACCTGATGACACTCAGACCTGGCGACACTCAGACATTGTGGCACTCAGAACTGGTGACACTCAGACCTGGTGACACTGAGACCTGGTGACACTGAGACCTGGTGACACTCAGACCTGGTGACACTCAAACATGGTGACACTCAAACATGGTGATGCTCAAACATGGTGACACTCAGACCTGGTGACACTCAGACCTGGTGACACTCAGACCTGGTGACACTCAGACCTGGTGACACTCAGACCTGGTGACACTCAGACCTGGTGACACTCAGACCTGGTGACACTCAGACCTGGTGACACTCAGACCTGGTGACACTCAGACCTGGTGACACTCAGACCTGGTAATACTCAGACCTGGTGACACTTAGACCTGGTGACACTCAGACCTGTTGACACTCAGACCAGGTGACACACAGATCTGGTGACACTCAGACTTGGTGACACACACGTGGTGACACTCAGACCTGGTGAAACTCAGACCTGATGACTCTCAGACATGGTGACACTCAGACCTGGTGACACTCAGACCTGGTGACACTCAGACCTGGTGACACTCAGACCTGGTGACACTCAGACCTGTTGACACTCAGACCAGGTGACACACAGATCTGGTGAAACTCAGACCTGATGACTTTCAGACATAGTGACACTCAGACTTGATGACACTCAGACTTGGTGACACTCAGACCTGATGATACTCAGACCTGGCGACACTCAGACCTGGTGACACTCAGACATGGTGACACACCTGGTGACTCTCAGAACTGGTGACACTTAGACCTGGTGACACTCAGACCTGCTGACACTCAGACCTGGTGACACTCAGACCTGGTGACACTCAGACATGGTGACACACCTGGTGACTCTCAGAACTGGTGACACTCAGACCTGGTGACACTCAGACCTGGTGACACTCAGACCTGTTAATACTCAGACCTAGTGACACTCAGACCTAGCGACACTCAGACCTGGTGACACTCAGACCTGGTGACACTCAGACCTAGTAATGCTCAGACCTCGTGACACTCAGACCTGGTGACACTCAGATCTGGTGACACTCAGACCTGGTAATGCTCAGACCTCGTGACACTCAGACCTGGTGACACTCAGACCTTGTAATACTCAAACCTGGTGACACTCAGACCTAGTGACACTCAAACCTGGTGACACTCAAACATGATGACACTCAGACCTGGTGACACTCAGACCTGGTGACACTCAGACCTGGTGACACTCAGACCTGGTGACACTCAGACCTGGTGACACTCAGACTTCGTGACACTCAGACCTCGTGACACTCAGACCTCGTGACACTCAGACCTCGTGACACTCAGACCTCGGACTCGACCTCGTGACACTCAGACCTGGTGACACTCAGACCTGGTGACACTCAGACCTGGTGACACTCAGACCTGGTGACACTCAGACCTGGTGACTCAAACATGGTGACACTCAGACCTGGTGACACTCAAATATGGTGACACTCAAACATGGTGACACTCAGACATGGTGACACTCAGACCCGGTGACACTCAGATCCGGTGACACTCAGGCCCGGTGACACTCAGGCCCGGTGACACTCAGACCCTGTGACACTCAGACCTGGTGACACTCAGACCTGGTGACACTCAGACCTGGTGACACTCAGACCTGGTGACACTCAGACCTGGTGACACTCAGACCTGGTGACACTCAAACCTGGTGACACTCAAACCTGGTGACACTCAAACCTGGTGACACTCAAACCTGGTGACACTCAAACCTGGTGACACTCAAACCTGGTGACACTCAAACCTGGTGACACTCAAACCTGGTAATACTCAGACCTGGTGACACTCAGACCTGGTGACAGTCAGACCTGGTAATACTCAGACCTGGTAATACTCAGACCTGGTGACACTCAGACCTGGTGACACTCAGACCTGGTGACACTCAGACCTTGTAAGAGTCAGACCTGGTGACACTCAGACCTGGTGACACTCAGACCTGGTGACACTCAGACCTTGTAATACTCAGACCTGGTGACACTCAGACCTTGTAAGAGTCAGACCTGGTGACATTCAAACCTGGTGACACTCAAACATGGTGACACTCAAACATTGTGACACTCATACCTGGTGACACTCAGACCTTGTAACAGTCAGACCTGGTGACACTCAGACCAGGTGACACACAGATCTGGTGACACTCAGACTTGGAGACACACAAGTGGTGACACTCAGACCTGGCGATACTCAGACCTGATGACTCTCAGACATGGTGACACTCAGACTTGATGACACTCAGAATTAGTGACACTCAGACCTGATGACACTCAGACCTTGCGACACTCAGACATGGTGGCACTCAGACCTGGTGACACTCAGACCTGGTGACACTCAGACCTGGTGACACTCAGACCTGGTGACACTCAGACCTGGTGACACACCTGGTGACACTCAGAACTGGTGACACTCAAACCTGGTGACACTCAGACCTGGTGACACTCAGACCTGGTGACACTCAGACCTGGTGACACTCAGACCTGGTGACACTCAGACCTGGTGACACTCAGACCTGGTGACACTCAGACCTGGTGACACTCAGACCTGGTGACACTCAGACCTGGTGACACTCAGACCTGGTGACACTCAGACCTGGTGACACTCAGACCTGGTGACACTCAGACCTGGTGACACTCAGACCTGGTGACACTCAGACCTGGTGACACTCAGACCTGGTGACACTCAGACCTGGTGACACTCAGGCCCGGTGACACTCAGGCCCGGTGACACTCAGGCTCGGTGACACTCAGGCCCGGTGACACTCAGGCCCGGTGACACTCAGACCCGGTGACACTCAGACCCGGAGACACTCAGACCCGGTGACACTCAAACATGGTGACACTCAAACATGGTGACACTCAAACAGGGTGACACTCAAACCTGGTGACACTCAAACCTGGTGACACTCAAACCTGGTGACACTCAGACCCGGTGACACTCAAACCTGGTGACACTCAGACCTGGTGGCACTCAGACCTGGTGACACTCAGACCTGGTGACACTCAGACCTGGTGACACTCAGACCTGGTGACACTCAGACCTGGTGACACTCAGACCTTGTAACAGTCAGACCTGGTGACACTCAGACCAGGTGACACACTGACCTGATGACACTCAGATTTGGTGACACACACGTGGTGACACACAGACCTGGTAACACTCAGACCTGGTGACACACAGACCTGGTAACACTCAGACCTGGTGACACTCAGACCTGGTGACAGGAAAAGTTGATGTCACTGTAAAGTACGAAAGAGAAATGGAAGGGAATACATCAAAAGTAATTACCTAGTGACTAGCAGGAGGCAGAGAGGAAACTGAAGAAAAATAATCAAACACAAAACGAGAGAGATGCCGAGCCACATAATAAGAAAACCTAAATACAACACTAGACTGCTAAATAGACCCTTAGTGAAAGTACTGATAAAACGAGGAATTGATCAAAAATGCGAACATGTAACCCATGTTCGAAATGTTGTTGAATGAACATGTAACCCATGTTCGAAATGTTGTTGAATGAACTGGTCACTTCAGAGTCATTTGGGTCCTTAGATGTGTCTCGTTTCGTTCTTATTGAGAAAACAGAGGTACTGAGGGAGCGAGATGTTGTGTGAACTGCCAGAAAACTTAAAGGATGAAGAGGTATGGGATATCCAAAGAAATGGATATCAGGGAATGGTTCTTTAGGAAGTCCAAAAGGGTGGCTGGAATGGCGCTCCAATACTGAACAATGGGTATCCAAAAGCAGCATTAAACTGGGTACTGTACTTTTACTTCCGTCATAATGGATAAGGTGACAAGGATAGAAGCAATATATCCAGCACGGCACATTTCAAATTAACTATTTCACTCTAGTGTTGACACTTGACTATACAGGGTCACACCATCCTGGACTCCAGATATTGTTATAGTTCGAGGGGTCAGCAGCGGGGTCATCCGGTTTAATGTCAGCTGGAACGTATCGGGTCATCTGCTGTAGAATAAACTGCAGTATATGGCGTACCACACCTTGTTCCTCTGCTGCCAGGTTGACTCTTTCCTCAGGATCCGCTGTAACGATATTAACACTTAACATCAGTTATTAGTATGTTACTTGCTAGTTTTGTTGATGGTATTTCTTTACCTACAAAATACTTTGTTTTAAAAATTCAGAAAAATACACTAAGGGAATTTAATTAATTTTTTTTTTTCTGATTTTCTTCGTTGACTTTAAAGGTTGATGCAGTGAGTGCCTTCTTAAATGATAGTCCACGGACAACTTAGGGAGTCCGTGGAAGGCTGCAACATAATTGTTCTTAAAGATTTGTTAAGTTATACCATGAATTTAGGTAAGATCCTGGACTTCACCTTACGACACAGACAAAGCAAATGTGATAGTAATTACGAACAAGGAAGATTATAGGGGAAAAATAAACATGTTATCAGAAGACGGAGGAACTTAGGTGCCTCTTAAGAAGACGGAGGAACTTAGGTGCCTCTTAAGAAGACGGAGGAACTTAGGTGTCTCTTAAGAAGACGGTGGAACTTAGGTGCCTCTTAAGAAGACGGAGGAACTTAGGTGCCTCTTAAGAAGACGGAGGAACTTAGGTGTCTCTTAAGAAGACGGAGGAACTTAGGTGCCTCTTAAGAAGACGGAGGAACTTAGGTGCCTCTTAAGAAGACGGAGGAACTTAGGTGCCTCTTAAGAAGACGGAGGAACTTAGGTGCCTCTTAAGAAGACGGAGGAACTTAGGTGCCTCTTAAGAAGACGGAGGAACTTAGGTGCCTCTTAAGAAGACGGAGTAACTTAGGTGCCTCTTAAGAAGACGGAGGAACTTAGGTGCCTCTTAAGAAGACGGAGGAATTTAGGTGCCTCTTAAGAAGACGGAGGAACTTAGGTGCCTCTTAAGAAGACGGAGGAACTTAGGTGCCTCTTAAGAAGACGGAGGAACTTAGGTGCCTCTTAAGAAGACGGAGGAACTTAGGTGCCTCTTAAGAAGACGGTGGAACTTAGGTGCCTCTTAAGAAGACGGAGGAACTTTGGTGCCTCTTAAGAAGACGGAGGAACTTAGGTGCCTCTTAAGAAGACGGAGGAACTTAGGTGCCTCTTAAGAAGACGGAGGAACTTAGGTGCCTCTTAAGAAGACGGAGGAACTTAGGTGCCTCTTAAGAAGACGGAGGAACTTAGGTGCCTCTTAAGAAGACGGAGGAATTTAGGTGCCTCTTAAGAAGACGGAGGAACTTAGGTGCCTCTTAAGAAGACGGAGGAATTTAGGTGCCTCTTAAGAAGACGGAGGAACTTAGGTGCCTCTTAAGAAGACGGAAGAACTTAGGTGCCTCTTAAGAAGACGGAGGAACTTAGGTGCCTCTTAAGAAGACGGAGGAACTTAGGTGCCTCTTAAGAAGACGGAGGAACTTAGGTGCCTCTTAAGAAGACGGAGGAATTTAGGTGCCTCTTAAGAAGACGGAGGAACTTAGGTGCCTCTTAAGAAGACGGAGGAACTTAGGTGCCTCTTAAGAAGACGGAGGAACTTAGGTGCCTCTTAAGAAGACGGAGGAACTTAGGTGCCTCTTAAGAAGACGGAGGAACTTAGGTGCCTCTTAAGAAGACGGAGGAATTTAGGTGCCTCTTAAGAAGACGGAGGAATTTAGGTGCCTCTTAAGAAGACGGAGGAACTTAGGTGCCTCTTAAGAAGACGGAGGAATTTAGGTGCCTCTTAAGAAGACAGAGGAACTTAGGTGCCTCTTAAGAAGACGGAGGAACTTAGGTGCCTCTTAAGAAGACGGAGGAACTTAGGTGCCTCTTAAGAAGACGGAGGAACTTAGGTGCCTCTTAAGAAGACGGAGGAACTTAGGTGCCTCTTAAGAAGACGGGGTAACTTAGGTGCCTCTTAAGAAGACGGAGTAACTTAGGTGCCTCTTAAGAAGACGGAGGAACTTAGGTGCCTCTTAAGAAGACGGAGGAACTTAGGTGCCTCTTAAGAAGACGGAGGAACTTAGGTGCCTCTTTAGAAGACGGAGTAACTTAGGTGCCTCTTAAGAAGACGGAGGAACTTAGGTGCCTCTTAAGAAGACGGAGTAACTTAGGTGCCTCTTAAGAAGACGGAAGAACTTAGGTGCCTCTTAAGAAGACGGAGGAACTTAGGTGCCTCTTAAGAAGACGGAGGAACTTAGGTGCCTCTTAAGAAGACGGAGGAACTTAGGTGCCTCTTAAGAAGACGGAGGAACTTAGGTGCCTCTTAAGAAGACGGAGGAACTTAGGTGCCTCTTAAGAAGACGGAGGAACTTAGGTGCCTCTTAAGAAGACGGAGGAACTTAGGTGCCTCTTAAGAAGACGGAGGAACTTAGGTGCCTCTTAAGAAGACGGAGGAACTTAGGTGCCTCTTAAGAAGACGGAGGAACTTAGGTGCCTCTTAAGAAGACGGAGGAACTTAGGTGCCTCTTAAGAAGACGGAGGAACTTAGGTGCCTCTTAAGAAGACGGAGGAACTTAGGTGCCTCTTAAGAAGACGGAGGAACTTAGGTGCCTCTTAAGAAGACGGAGTAACTTAGGTGCCTCTTAAGAAGACGGAGGAACTTAGGTGCCTCTTAAGAAGACGGAGGAACTTAGGTGCCTCTTAAGAAGACGGAGGAACTTAGGTGCCTCTTAAGAAGACGGAGGAACTTAGGTGCCTCTTAAGAAGACGGAGGAACTTAGGTGCCTCTTAAGAAGACGGAGGAACTTAGGTGCCTCTAAGAAGACGGAGGAACTTAGGTGCCTCTTAAGAAGACGGAGGAACTTAGGTGCCTCTTAAGAAGACGGAGGAACTTAGGTGCCTCTTAAGAAGACGGAGGAACTTAGGTGCCTCTTAAGAAGACGGAGTAACTTAGGTGCCTCTTAAGAAGACGGAGGAACTTAGGTGCCTCTTAAGAAGACGGAGTAACTTAGGTGCCTCTTAAGAAGACGGAAGAACTTAGGTGCCTCTTAAGAAGACGGAGGAACTTAGGTGCCTCTTAAGAAGACGGAGGAACTTAGGTGCCTCTTAAGAAGACGGAGGAACTTAGGTGCCTCTTAAGAAGACGGAGGAACTTAGGTGCCTCTTAAGAAGACGGAGGAACTTAGGTGCCTCTTAAGAAGACGGAGGAACTTAGGTGCCTCTTAAGAAGACGGAGGAACTTAGGTGCCTCTTAAGAAGACGGAGGAACTTAGGTGCCTCTTAAGAAGACGGAGGAACTTAGGTGCCTCTTAAGAAGACGGAGGAACTTAGGTGCCTCTTAAGAAGACGGAGGAACTTAGGTGCCTCTTAAGGGATGGGGCAGGTGGACAGGTCTCTTTATTACAAGCAATTTTGTCCCCTCATATTCTATTTAAATATTCATGCTGTTTAGAAATTCTTCTAAAGGTAAAGTATCAAACCAGTTAAATACATGGTGATATAGGAAGCTAAAGCACAGGTTAAGTTAAGTTAAGGTAAGGTAAGGTAAGGTAAGGTATTGTAAGGTAAGGTAAGGTTCGTCAGGTTAGGTTAGGTTAGGTTAGGTTAGGTTAGGTTAGGTTAGGTTAGGTAAGGTTAGGTAAGGTTAGGTAAGGTTAGGTAAGGTTCGTCAGGTTAGGTTAAGTTAAGTTAAGTTAAGTTAAGTAAGGTAAGGTAAGGTAAGGTAAGGTTAGGTTAGGTTAGGTCAGGTTAGGTTTGGTTATGTTAGGTTAGGTTAGGTTAGGTTAGGTAAGGTTAGGTTAGGTTAGGTAAGGTAAGGTTCGTCAGGTTAGGTTAGGTTAGGTTCGTCAGGTTAGGTTAGGTTAGGTTAGGTTAGGTTAGGTTAGGTTAGGTAAGGTAAGGTTCGTCAGGTTAGGTTAGGTTAGGTTAGGTTAGGTTAGTCAGGTTAGGTTAGGCAAGGTTCGTCAGGAAACAGGACAAGTGTTTCCTGACGCGGATCTTAGTCAGATAATGACCCGCCGTTGGAGCTCTTGGTCATCTGACCGAGGCCTTTCCCTGGCTTACCGGTCACCCCTTTAAAAATTATCATCATAGTTATAACCACTTCTTAATAATAACGTACAGGGTCATATAATGTACTATTTACTACCTCACCGTTATTGTCAGCAGGAATCCATATATCATCAGATACCCAATGACGTCTCTATTTCTTATAGCAAAGGACACCATCTCACTATCACTTATTCATAATAATATATTGTAAAAAAATGCAAAATTAAAAGCTCACCGAAATCATATATTGAATCCCGGATGAACATTGTTCTGGAGACGTGTTAAAAATAACGTAATGATTTTTTGTCAGAAAATATATATAATATTAATGAAAACTTTTCAAAAGTAAATATTTTAGTAAAAATGAGATAATTATTAATAATAATAATAATTAGTAGTAGTAGTATAATTATTAAAGAGAATTATTAAAGCACAATACCGTGAGTGGAGCAATAGAAAATAACCCGCACATTAACCGACCATTAACGTGTTATTAGTTAATGGTCCAAGTTAATGGTCCAAGTTAATGGTCCAAGTTAATGATCCAAGCTAATGGTCCAAGTTAATGGTCCAAGTTAATGGTCCAAGTTAATGATCCAAGTTAATGATCCAAGTTAATGGTCCAAGTTAATGATCCAAGTTAATGGTCCAAGTTAATGGTCCAAGTTAATGATCCAAGCTAATGGCCCAAGTTAATGGTCCAAGTTAATGATCCAAGTTAATGGTCCAAGTTAATGATCCAAGCTAATGGTCCAAGTTAATGGTCCAAGTTAATGGTCCAAGTTAATGATCCAAGTTAATGGTCCAAGTTAATGATCCAAGTTAATGGTCCAAGTTAATGATCCAAGCTAATGGTCCAAGTTAATGATCCAAGTTAATGGTCCAAGTTAATGGTCCAAGTTAATGATCCAAGCTAATGGTCCAAGTTAATGGTCCAAGTTAATCCAAGTTAATGGTCCAAGTTAATGGTCCAAGTTAATGATCCAAGTTAATGGTCCAAGTTAATGGTCCAAGTTAATGATCCAAGTTAATGGTCCAAGCTAATGGTCCAAGTTAATGATCCAAGTTAATGGTCCAAGCTAATGGTCCAAGTTAATGGTCCAAGTTAATGGTCCAAGTTAATGATCCAAGTTAATGATCCAAGCTAATGGTCCAAGTTAATGGTCCAAGTTAATGGTCCAAGTTAATGATCCAAGTTAATGGTCCAAGTTAATGATCCAAGCTAGTGGTCCAAGTTAATGATCCAAGCTAATGGTCCAAGTTAATGGTCCAAGTTAATGGTCCAAGTTAATGGTCCAAGTTAATGGTCCAAGTTAATGGTCCAAGTCGAACTGAAAGTCACTGTAAGCTTCCGTCTCCTATGTGCGGGTTATTTATGTATTATTATTATATTATTATTACTATTATTATTATTAAAAAGAATTAGCTGTTGCAAATTATGACAAATATGATAGAACACATCATGAAATTACTGAAGCTGTGCGTGAAAAAAATGTACTGTATATGAAGCAAAATATATATGTTCTACTTGAAATAAAGCCTATATGTTCTATGTAAAATTATGTCCCGTTTTCTGTGAAATTATAGTTTGTGAAGATATGTATCTGCTTTCTGTGTGAAATAAAACTGTGAGAAATTACCTGCATGAGGTTTACAAGGAATTGCCTGAACTATTACATGTAAGTAATTTGGGTGAGGTAAGTGTGACTTAGTCACAGTGGGTCACAGAACTGTCACTCCCTCGATGCCCACTTCATCACTATTCTCACAAAAAGCTAGATCTGACATTAAATTCATAATTACAATATTAAAACCAGCTTCTCTGGTAAATTAATATTGTGTGGACTGTATATTCTGGTTTACTTGCTGGGTACACAAATTATAACTATTAGTACAATACATATAATACAATGGTGTTATTAGTAAAACAAATTCTTATTACCACTTACCATTTAATTACTGGATTTTTATGTGTAACACACCCTAACGCTATCCTAATAGCTAGAGTTTACAATGGACAATGCAAAACTACCATACATTATGGGTAAGCATCACTTAGTTAAAGTGTGTTGTCGGGAAGAATCAGTCCCCTATTTTTCCGTCCGTGTAGCCGAACTGCATGGATTTTCCACATTATTTATCCCAATTCTTCAGCACAAATATGTCAGCAATTTCTAAATTACAGACTGAGTTTGATATACACCAACTGAACTTCGATGACACGTGATTACATTGCACAATTAACAGACCAGTGTTCACACATTTTCACTACGGCATCTTCTTCCCGCTTTGTGGCTGTTCCACTTCCCCCCAGCTCGAAATTTCTCGAAGGGTCAAATCAGCATCACATTTTAATACACAATTATATTATTCAAATTTACACATGCTGAAATTAGAAAAATTCAAATTTTTCCACAAAAGCACCTATTCTAAACGTGAATTACTTTATGTGTTTGCAATACTGTGCAAGGCATCCGTCTTCTAAATATAGCAAAAGAGTTCTGCGATTTTTTAAATGGAACTAAACGCAAAAAGGTTTATATTTTTAAGTAACTAAAAATTCAGAAGTGTATTTATAAATTCCAGATGTTGTTATTATGTGTTCCACTTAACTCCATTCTTTTTCTGTAACCTGACCAAATACCTGCTTGCTGTCAGCAATAACATACCTGTGATATTATAAAGACGGATTTGAGTGATGTTGGTGTTGAACAGTTGTAGCAGTTGTTGGAGCGTCGGCTGACTATCTTCCTCCTTCTCCTGGGTATCGTCTCTTTGTTCTAATGTTCGCTGATCTGAAGGTCTGCTCTCTTCCCGCCTCTCCTGAGCATCGTCTCCCAGTGATGTTCGCTGATCTGAAGGTCTGCTCTCTTCCCACATCTCCTGGGTATCGTCTTCCTGAGATGTTCGCTGATCTGAAGGTCTGCTCTCTTCCCACCTCTCCTGAGTGTCGTCTTGTGATGCTCGCTGATCTGAAGGTCTGCTGCCACTACCATTGCCGTCTACATTTCCAAAATATTTAACATTAAATTTTGCCTTATTCAAAATTTTGCTTTTCTCTTTTTTATCACTTGTCCAATATCTTTCATTAACGTTATAACTGCCAACAGCTTCTGGTCCAACGATTCTGACTAAAAATGGACCGACATTTGATTTTTTTGCACTCAGGACCCTACTTGGCTGACTTAACGGTTCAACCACCGTCATTTTCTGTTGATACTGTGCAGATGAGTCACTCTGCAAATCATCGGAGAGAAAAGGGCCTTGATTATCAAACAATTCAGTAGATTTATCCGATCCAACACCTGATTGTAGAACACCAAGCTGGTCATAGTTTTCTGACTCCACACTTGCTTGGCGGGGACCAGACTGATCCAATATATTGTAGTTGTGAAGAGCTGTGTTTGGCTGCGACACATGAAGCTGCGGTTCTGATACACCAGAAAGTTTGACTGTTAATTTGTTTTCATTTGAGGCGATATTTTTAATAGCGTGAGCGAAGTGGGAGTTAATGGTGAAGTTCTCTGGAGGAGGCGTCCACTCTCCAGGGCCAGGATCTCCCACTAGTAGCTTGTAGTCTCCTATCCTGTTTGTTCAGAAAAAAATATCAAACAATGAATATGTATACAATATAAAATTTAAAAGGGTCTTATTTTCTAATTTCACAAAGTATTTATTTTCTAATTCTACATCACTCCCTACGAAAGCAAAAGAATCGGCAGACGATGCAACGTCCCTCTAATGAAAAGAACGAAAAGAGACAACACACTAAGTGTCAGGGACTCAAGACTGTTCAACTGCCTCCCAGCATACATAAGGGGGATTACCAATAGACCCCTGGCTGTCTTCAAGAAGGCACTGAACAGGCACCTAAAGTCAATACCTGACCAACTGGGCTGTGGTCCGTACATTGGTTTGCGTGAGGCCAACAGTAACAACCTGGTTGATTTGATCAGGCCCTGACCTACTATGAGGCCTGGTCACAGACCGGGCAGCGGGGGCGTTGACCTCCGGAACCCTCTCCAGGTATACTCCAGGTATTTATATTATGCTCTTTATTCCGTTATTTACACCTCAGATCAATGCCCTCATTCTATCCTCGTAGGAAAGATTTCTGATATATGGGATTAATTTATTATCCTCCTGTGAACGTTTTTCAGCTCATTTATGTCCATTCTGTAATTCGGTGACAAGAAATGTGCTAACATAAGGGGTATATTGACCTAATTTACGGGGAATGTTCTGCATAACAAGCGGCTTTCTATTTAGTAGTATGTCACTGATGTCAGCTATGGTCTGTATACCTTGTAGATGTACTGGTAGTAAATAAAGGTATTATATTATATTATCATATAGCCAGGGTGGCACGGGCCGGTATAAAAAAAAAGTCGAAAAATTAGTTAAGCTTACAGAAAAATACTGCAACATTTTGCTAACATTTTAGTGTCTCATCTTCGCATGTTTCTACAATGAATTATAATTACTACATTATTATTATTATTATAATCAAGGGGGAAGCACTAAACCCGTAGGATCATACAGCGCCTATGGGGGGATGGAAGGCATTCAGGCTTAATTCAGGGAACTGGAGCACAGATCCAATTCCCTAGATCAAGAGCCCCTCACCAGCGTCAAGGAGCCTTCCATGAGGGGTATAATTACTACAACATTTCTTGTTATTATGATGGGAAAAAGTGTGTCGCTCACGGCTATGTAAAATGTTGTATATTCACGTTATTATTGACATTTGCAATTATTTATCTACCACATTTACTTATCTATCAAATTAATATTAGGTATATAATAAATACCATACAAGTATAATACAGACGCCCAAATAAAGAAAAACGGTGCCTCGTGGCCTAGTGGCAATAGCTCTCGCTTCACAGGGTGAGGGTCAGGGTTCGATTCCCTGCGAAGGGGTGGAAACATTGGGTGTGTTTCTTCACACTGGTTGTCTATGTTCACCCATCAGTAAAATGGGTACCTGGGTGTTAGTGGACTTGTGTGGGTTGCATCCTGGGACACTGACCTACTTGTAGTAACAAAGATATTATTATTATTATTTACAAAGGACCCCAATGGAAATAAGTCACTCTGTCTGACTTTTTTGGGTTATCCTAGGTTCTCTACACATATGCTGCTATGTATGATAATTCTATGTAACTGTATTGTGTATACCTGAATAAATTTACTTACTTACTTACTTACTTACAAAGTGGTCGTCGGTCCAGCACTAGAGCAGTTTACGCATAAGATTATAATTTTACATTTTCTTTCAACCACTAATTTTATAGAAAACGTATGTACCACTGGGATAACTATTGAAGAACACTCTTTACGGATAATAATAATAATAATAATAATAATAATAATAATAATAATAATCATAATAATCTTTATTTACTACAAGTACATGTACATGGTATACAGTCCTACCTGACAACAATGACATACTACCACATAGAAAGCCACTTGTTATGCTGAGCATCTCGGGCAAATTAGGTCAGTGTCCCAGGATGCGACCCACACCAGTCGACTAACACCCAGGTACCCATTTTACTGATGGGTGAACAGGGACAGCAGGTGACTTAATGAAACACGTCGTAATGTTTTCATCCGTACCGGGGTTCGATTCCCGGACCTAAGTGTGAGAGTTGACTGCGCTACCAATCGAGCTATGGGACTAAAAAAAAAAAAACGAAATCAGACGAGAAACAAACCGACCAGCACGGCGCAGTATACATACCCCCTAATCTAAATGAGGGCTAACCAATGATATATAGAGTCGAAGAATAACCCTGAGTTCTCCTGTTATTTATACTTCTTGATACGAAACCAAGAATTCTGCTCGCTTTTTTTGCGAACATTTACGCTCTGTTGTCTTGGTTTTAGATTACTATTAACCAGAACTCCTAAATCTTTTTTGCAGTCGGAGTGAGTAAGATCTACATTACTTATTTTATAAAAGCCATAGTTATTTTCTTTCCAAGTCTTATAATTTTGCATTTGTCTATATTAAACTGCATCTGCCACTTCGACAACGACTGAATTAGTCTATTTAGATCTTCCTGTAGCGCTCTAATGTCCTCGTCAAAATTAACCCGACAGCCTATTTTGGTGTCATCGGCAAACTTGCTTATATCACTAGTCCCTCATTAATGCTGATTAAGTATATTGTGAACAACAAAGGGCCCAACACTGACCCCTGTGGGGCACCATTTATGACTCGTCCCCACTCTGATTTCTCCACATTTATGCAAGGTCTCTGTTGGAAGTATTGGTAGAATTACTGACAGAATGTTGTGTAAATGAACACAAATACAACTAATGTGACATTTTATTGTGGCAACTTTTCGCTCTGCAGGAGCTCTATCAAACCATTACAAATATTGCAATGATTTAGAATCAGGTAAGTTTACCAGGACGGGTCGTGGCCCGGGTCTTCTCCATGTAATGACCTGGCAGTGGTTCCCGAAGGAGAGTCGGAGTTTGTACAAGTGATGTACCGTTTACAGCCCTATGACAGGGGCAGCCCTATGACAAGAACATGGTGAGTCTTCTTCAGTAGCTATGTCAAGCCTTAACAACATGACAAAGCTACTGGAGAGCGAAACGTTGTCACACTAAAATGTCATATTAGTTGCATCTGTGTTCATTTTCCTAACAAAATCTGTTGCCAATCTGTCAACAACGCTTCTATCCAGGAAAAAATGCTCATATTCCGTGTAACCCTACTTTCTTCAACAATCTCCTAAGTAGAACTATATCGAAAGCCTTACTGAAGTTCATATACACAATATCATACTCATTACCATGATCCACCTTGATCCAGCCCGTAATGCTATGCATATAAGTGGCTTTGGCATGCTGCTCTTACCTGTATTTTTTGTACCTCTGTTTGTATGCTAAATTTCTAAATAAAAATAAAATAAAATAAAATAAAAACGTTACAGGTATTGACGGTGCCCCGTGGCTTGGTGGTTAAAGCTCTTGCTTCACACGGCGAGCGTCGAGTTCGATTCCCGCCTAGGGTAGAAACACTGGGTGTGTTTCTTTACATCGGTTGTCTATGTTCCCCATCAGTAAAATGGGTACGTGGGTGGTAGTCGAATGGTGTGGGTCGCATCCTGGGACAAAACTGACCTAATTTGAGGGAAATGCTCAGCATAACAAGCGGCTTTCTATATAGTAGTATGTCATTGATGTCAGCTATGGTCTGTATACCTTGTACATGTACTTGTAGAAATAAAGATATTATATTATTATTATTAAAAAAAGGTTAATAAAAGAAGGTTAATATTTGTAAGGGAGGAACGCCCTTTAGTAAAATCATCTTTCAAGGTGGCTTCCAACAGCCATGGCAGTTATTGATTCCATCAATTTTCCCACAATGAAGGTTAGGCAAATTGGTCTATAATTCAAAGCTAATCATCTGTCACCTGCTTTATAGATAGGTATCACCGTTGCCATTTTCCACTTATCTGGCGCTAGGCCTGTTAGTAGTGATACATTGATCAGGTTATCCAAGTTTCTCCATGCATTCCACAACTCTAATGAGAAGGAAAATGGTTTCTATGAGTCTCCACACCGAACATATAATCTCTATTCTGCCTTTCGCGCAATGCCAGATACATCATGATATGTAGATAAATGGTTCAGAGAACCGACAAATTAATGAACTAGTCACATGTGCAACACTTCGGTATCTTTTTTGAGGAAACGTTTCGCCACACAAAGGAGAAGAAGAATGGTGAAGAACAGAAGGAGGTTGAGGTAATCAGTCCCTCAGCCTGGAGTCGATGTAATCAGTCCATCAACCTTGAAAAGAATACAGCATATGCACGAAGTGGCTTATATACTTTAGGCAGATGAGGTGTAGCAGTCATAGGTGGCATCACATTTGACAAATCCAAATGTGGAAGTAGGTCATGCTTGAAGAGGTTAGGCAAGTGAAAAATTCCCTGTAATAAGATCCCAAGATGTTGCTGTGTCTGACATGAATGTAGATAGATGGTTCATTTGCCACATGTGCCACACTTGGGTATCTTTATTGAGGAAACGTTTAGTCAATAATGATAATCAAGTGTTATACATGTGTCTAATTTATCATCTTGAAATCTGTTCCATTTGTCTCTCACGAGAAATTTATACTATAACAAGTGTCCAATATGTTCTCGTGATGCTCTATACTACTCTCACAAGATTTTATATTGATCTCACCTGGCCCCAGCTACAAATGACGTGGTGTTGTCGATATTGTAGATCATATGCGTCCTAGGGGAAGGTGCTGAGCCAGTGATGGTCGCCCACTGGTCCATCCCATCTGTTTGTGGAGCTCTGCCCCCTGCCACTCCTACCAGCGTCTCGTACCAGTCTGTCACATGCATCAATCTGTGAACAAGGGAACTGGATATGATTTTAAATAAAGAATAATCGTCTGAATTCTAAATCATTCTGATGCAGAGAAAATCAGCCTCTGGCTCCGGTAACATCAAAACCAGCTCTCCTCATGATGGTAAGTAAGTAATAAGTTTATTCAGGTATACACAAATACAGTTACATAGATTATCATACATAGCAGCATATGTGTAGAGAACCTGGGATAACCCAAACAAGTCAGAATGACTTATTTCCATTGGGGTCTGGTGGCTATCACTGAATTTAAAAATAAATTTCCAGCTTTACAGGATCAATATAAAACTACCCGAGAAGGTTACTCTTTGAAGACAACAGATTTTTATAGAGTAAATACTTTTTTGAGGTATCCTAGCGTGAGGGTGTTTGTTATACACGAGTGAATGAAAGTGTCAGCTATATATGGCTGAAAGTAGATCAAAGCTACAAATGAGTGAAACAGAATGAGAATTACACGTGAGTGAGCGTGAACTGTGAGTTACATACGAAGGAATGTACGAACTACATATTGGAAAGCCTGATAGCAAAGGACATTAAAGTCCACACCGAGGAGTCTCCTGGGAAAACTTATCTAAATGTATCTAGCCCTGATACACCATGAAGTCTGTGACCAGGCCTCATTGTGTATCAGGGCATGATCAACCAGGCTGTTGGCAGCACGCAAACTGACATACGAACCACAGCCCGGCTGGTCATGTAGTGACTTTAGGCGCCTTCTTGAAGACAGCAAGGGGTCTGTTTGTAATCACCCTTATGTTTGCTGGTAGGCAGCTGAACAATCTTGGGCCCCTGACGCTTATTGTGTTGTCTCTTAACGTGCTAGTGACACCCCTGCTTTTCATTGGGGGGATGTTGCATCGTCTGCCGAGTCTTTTGCTTTCATAGGAAGTGATTTTCGCGTGCAAGTTTGGTACTAAGTCCTCTAGGATTTTCCAAGTGTATATAATCATGTATCTCTCCCTCCTAAACAACACAGATCCGAACATTTGCCTTGAAAAAAATGAATTCTGTGAATCTTAAGATCTGCTCAAGACACATTCCATTAAAAAATAGAAAGAGAAGATGTAAACTAGAAAGAGAGAGACGTTCCCTATACAGACGAAAGCGAAGAGTCACACAGCTGCTGAGTGGGGTCAATATATCTGAAATACGAAGGGAGGCACCCGTCAATGAAATTGCAGATATCGAACTTAAGCTGAAGGAATCTTATAGGAGACAAGAATCACAGGAAGAACTAAAAGCTGTAAAGGAAATTGAAAAAAAAAATACTTCTTCTCTTATGTCAAATCTAAGGGAAAAACAACATCCAGTATTGGGACCCTGCTTAGGCGAGATGGGACATACACAGATGACAGCCAAGAAATGAGTGAGATACTAAGGTCCCAATATGACTCAGTGTTCAGAGAGCCACTACCCACTCTAAGAGTCGAGAATCCAAATGAATTCTTTATGAACGAAACCCAAAATTTGGTCATCCCAAAAATCTCGGATATTATTCTAACTCCACAAGACTTTGAAGAGGCAATTAATGACATGCCCATGCACTCTGCCCCAGGCCCAGACTAATGGAACTACGTGTTCATCAAGAATTGCAAGAAGCCCCCATTGCGTGCCTTCAGCATTTTATGGAGAGGGAGCATGGACACAGGGGTCATCCCACACACACTAAAAAGAGACATAACCACATTCCACATAGGTGGCAGTAAAGCAATTGCAAAGAACTACAGACCGATAGCACTAACATCCCATATCAATCCAAGGCAACACGGGTTTACAGCAGGTCGTTACTTCTTGTCCCAGCTATCGGAACACTATGACAAGGTTATGGATGCTGTAGAGGATAAACAAAATACGGATGTAGTATACACAAACTTTGCAAAAGTTTTCGACAAGTGTGACCATGGTGTAAAAGCACACAAAATGCAGGATAAAGGAATAACGGGAAAAGTTGGTAGATGGATCTAATACTTCCTGACAAATAGAACACGAAGAGTAATAGTAAACAGAGTAAAGTCCCAGGCAGCCATGGTAAAAAGCTCTGTTCCACAAGGCACAGTACTCGCTCCCATTCTATTCCTCATCCTCATTTCCGACATAGACAGAGATGTAAGCCATAGCTCCGTGTCTTCCTTTGCGGATGACACCCGGATTACCATGGCAGTGACCTCCATCGAAGACACCGCGAGACTCCAAGCGGACATCAACCAAATCTTCGGATGGGCCACTCAAAACAATATGAAGTTCAACGAGGAGTAATTTCAACTACTCAGATATGGAAAACTTGAAGAAATAAAAAATGTGTCAGGGTATACCACAAATTCTAACCATACAATAGAGCGAAAAAGTAATGTGAAGGACCTGGGAGTGATAATGTCAGAGGATCTCACCTTCGAAGACCATAACAATGTATCTACCTCATCCACTAGGAAAATGATAGGATGGATAATGAGAACCTTCAAAACTAGGGACGCGAAGCCCATGATGATTCTCTTCAAATTGCTAGTGCTCTCTAGGCTGGAATACTGCTGTACACTAACGGCCCCCTTCAAGACTGGCGACGTTGCAGACCTGGAGAGTGTACAAAGAACTTTCACGGCACACATAAGGGCGATAAGGCACCTAAACTACTGGGAACGGTTGAAGGTCCTTGATCTGTATTCCCTCGAACTCAGGCGAGATAGATACATAATAATATACACTTGGAAGGTCCTGGAGGGATTGGTACAAATCACTCCCTATGAAAGCAAAAGACTCGGCAGGAGATGCAACATTCCCCCGATGAATTGCAGGGGCGCAACGAGTACACTGAGAGACAACACATTAAGTGTCCGGGGCCAAGGGGGATTACCAATAGACCCCTGGCTGTCTTCAAGAAGGCACTGAACAGGCACCTAAAGTCAATATATGACCAACCGGGCTGTGGTTCATACATCAGCTTGCGTGCGGCCAGCAGTAACAGCCTGGTTGAGCAGACCCTGATCCACCACGAGGCCTGGTCTCATACCAGGCCGCGGGGGCGTCGACCCCTGAAACCCTCTCCAGGTAAACTCCTGCGTTCTAGGGAGTACAGGTTGAGGAACTTCAATCATGCCCAGTAAATGAGGTGGTTTATCGCACTTATGTGTGCCTTGAAGGTTTTTGTACATTTTCTAGGTCAGCAATTTCACCTGCCTTGAAAGGTGCTGTTAGTGTGCAGCAATATTTCAGCCTAGATAGAACAAGCGACCTGAAGAGTGTCATCATAGGCTTGGCCTCCCTAGTTATGAAGGTTCTCATTATCCATCCTGTTATTTTTCTAGCAGATGCGATTGATACTACAATGTTGCGGTCTTTGAAAGTGAGATCCTCTAAGATTATTACTCCCAGGTCCTTTACATTAGTTTCTCGCTCTATTGTGCAGTTGGAATTTGTTTTGTACTGCAATATAGTTATAATTTAAACCATACCCCCGGCCGGGATTGAACCCGCGGTCATAGAGTCTCAAAACTCCAGCCCGATTTCTTAAGTCATGTTTAGTTATAATTTCTTCACGTGTTCCATATCAGGGTAATTGAAATTTCTCATCATTGAACTTCATATCGTTTTCTGCGTCCCATTTAAAGATTTGGTTGATGTCTGCCTGGAGTCTTGCAGTGTCTTCAATGGAGGACACTGTCATGCAAATCTGGGTGTCATCTGCAAAGGAAGACACGGTGCTGTGGCTGACATCCCTGTCAATGTCAGATATAAGGATGAGGAACAGGATGGGAGCGAGTACTGTGCCTTGTGGAACAGAGCTTTTCACAGTAACTGCCTCAGACTACTCTGTTTACTATTACTCTTTGTGTTCTGTTTGTTAGGAAATTATAGATCCATCTACCAACTTTTCCTTTTATTCACTTACCACGCATTTTGTGTGCTATTACACCATGGTCACACTTGTCAAAGGCTTTTGCAAACTCTTTGCATACTATATCTGCATTTTGTTTGTCTTCTAGACCATCCAGGACCTTGTCATAGTGGTCCAGTAGTTGGCACAGGCAGGAGCGACCTGCTCTAAACCCATGTTGCCCTTGGTTGTGTAGCTGATGGGTATCTAGATGAGTGGTCATATTGATTCTTAGAACTCCTTCAAAGATTTTTATGATATGGGATGTTAACATTATCGATCTAGAGTTCTTTGCTATTGCTTTACTGCCCCCTTGGTGGAGTGGGGCTATGTCTGTTGTTTGTAGCTGCTATGAGACAACCCCTGTGTCAATGCTTCCACTCCATAGGATGTTAAAAGCACATGATTGGGGTTTCTTGCAGATCTTAATGAACACGAGGTTTTATGAGTCTGGGCCTGGAGTAGAGTGCATGAGCATGTCAATTATTGCCTTTTCGAAATCATTTGGCGTCAGGATAATATCAGACAGGTTTGAGTCTGCCAAATTGTGTCTCACTCATTTAGGTCTTAGACTCTCAGTCTGGTTAGCGGTTCTCTATAAACCGAGTCATTCTAGAACTTGAGTAGCTCACTCATTTCCTTGCTGTCATCTTTGTAGGACCCATCTCGTCTAAGTAGGGGCCCAATATTGGATGTTGTTCTCGACTTAGATATGACATAGGAAAAGAAATATTTTGGGTTTCTTTCAATTTCATTTATGGCTTTTAGTTCTTCCCACGATTTTTGACTCCAGTAAGATTCCTCTAGCTTTAGTTCGATGTTTGCTATTTCTCTGAGCAGTGCCTCCCCTTTACAGATACATTGGCCTCTCATTGGCCTCTTTTAGCTGTTCTGTTATTCTTTACATTCGCCTGTATAGGGAATGCCTTTCTCTTTCTAGTACACATCTTCTCTTTATGTTCCTTAAAGGAATATGCCTTGAGCATACCTCGAGTTCCATAAGGTTATTTTTTCTAGACATAGGTTTGGATCCGTGTTGCTTAGGATATCTTCCCAGTTTATATTATTTAGGACCTGGTTTACTTGGTCCCACCTTATGTTTTTGTTA